TCCTTAAATCAATGGATAGCTGGTGAGTTGATTTTCAGTCATCTAATTGGGAGGAATTGACGCACAATATTTCTCTTAGTGACAAACAATCCTAATGGAACAATTAAGGGATAAATAGAGAGATAGTTTACTATGCTATAAACTAAGAAACATTTCATATTTTATTCGGAGAGATAAATAGGAATTGAAGCAGAAAATAGTCTCAATCTTAAGATAGAGAGATTTCAGACACACTATTTAATAAGTTTCTGGTTTTTTAGGGACAACATCATTGTCAAACAAACCTAATGCCCATTCAACTTACAAGCGTATTTACTTTGCACTTGTTTGGATTTGCAATTTATAATCACTCATAAGCATTCTCATGTAAGTTGAAATAAAATTTTGTTCATATACTTATCTTCTATTTCATAAATCATAATTAAAAAGTTAGTTTTAATTCATCTTAAACAAGTCCTTTTTTGAAGATAACGATAAATTTTGATGTAACTTATTTAAAAAAAATGTTACTTTTAATACTTAAATTGTGATAGAATTTTTTTTTTCATAACATATGACCAATGACTCAAAAAAGGGAAAAAAAAAAAAACTTAGGTCAAGTTTTTTATATCCACAATATCAAGTTCTAGAATTACACATGGTCATGTGTCCTTTTTTGTTTCATGAGGATTTATAATTAAATACTATTAAATGTTAATATGTTAAAAATAGGACACATGACCATGTCTGGTTAAAACACTTGACATAAAGGATATAAAAAACTTGATTTAAATATTGTCATAAAAAAATTTCAATATAAATAATTTCACAACAATTAGTTGTCATTTTATTTTTGTATACTACATTATTGTTTAACATGATGAGGTTTTAGTTTATCAAACAAAATATTCAAAATTGGATCTATCCATTTGAAATGCCTTTTTTCATTTTATCTCCATTTAAATTTTAGCCATTAGATTAATTTTATTAATAATTCTTTTACTTCTTTTTGGCCAAAAAAAGCTTATCATAATTCTTTTAATTACTAGGACAATACCTATTGGTTAATTATTAGACTAATTTTAAAAGGCCCAAATCAATCCTAAAAATGTGTTGAGCTATATTTTTGGGGATCGATCTGACCATCAAAATTGATCCATCAGCCAAGAATTGAGCTTTGAGAAGAGAGAATGTAGGAATCTTTGTGATTTTAATATTTTATCCCCCCCCCCCTCTGTTCTTTTTTTTTTTGGGTTTCTGGGGCAAGGTCGAGGTTGTGTTTCCTTCCGCACTTATTCGTTTCACGAGCTTTATAAATATATTTTGCATTTAGTTTAATTTGTGACCCAAAAAAACCTATGGGCAATTTCTTTTTTGTTTTTTCAAAATATAAATATTACTCTTCCTGTCCTTAATATAAAATATAATTGAAGAATTGATGTTAGTATTATATGTGAGACCTATTTTACCTTGTTATAATTTTTTTCAAATCAACCCTATTGATATTTTCTTAACAATAATCAAGTAGGAAAGGGGTGAGGGAATTAACAAAAATACTTAGAATATTTTAGAAAAAATATATTATATTAACTAATTTAATTAACAACCTTAATCTACTCAAATTAGTTAATAAGATCTTACATTTAGGACAGAAGGAGTAGTTTATACTTTATTCTTTGAAGTTTAGTTTTCATACACACATACAATAACGAACCCTCTAACACTTTTAATTTTGCATTGATAGTAATGATTGTCCTTAATTAATTAGGCCATTATTCCACAAATTAAATGTGACATTTTAGAGGATTATCTATGGCTGACTTAATTAAAGCTCAATGTTTATATGTACGTATACATGAAATTTAAGAAGTTACCATCACACTTTGTTAATAAAACCTGAAAAATATTGACAATGAGCATATATCTAAGTTGCTAATTAAGAAGCTATGCTTTGGCCCCAAAAAGAAAAAATTAAGAAGCTATGCTAACTTAATCAGCGTGATTTTCAGTTGGATCCTATAGCTTTATTTCGGACACTGGATGGTTTTTTTTTTTTTAAATGAAACATGGTTATCTTTTTTCCTTTTTCTTTTTAATCACAATATGTAAAATTAATAGAGATAAGTATGCTTAAAGTTTTTTGGTGTAAAAAGTTGAAGTTTTGTGAAGAAGACATGTAACAACATGGTCCAAGAAGGTATGGATAGAATTTGGGTTGGAGATGATGGGTTCCTGCATGCTGCCTGAAATTGCGGGTTATACCTCATCTATATTTTAATTAAGGATGTGACACTTATATATATATATATATATATATATATATTTATTTATTCATTTCAATTTTTTTTAATAAGCGTAATTTCTTTGTCTTTCATACAGTCAATCATCCAACCATATAGGGCCATTCACTAGGACAGAATGGGTTTATTCTTCCTTTTTTCTTTTCCACCCAATGAAAGCGACTGGATCATGAAATTATTAAAATTTCTTTAGCTTTTCTTGCTGTGATATGATTTAATGGAATTAAAAGTCTATATGGTACTCGCATATTCTTTTTGCCAACACATGGTACTCACCACAGATTCAATCAATGGTTTTGCAGAATCACTTTTTTGTGCATTAACAACATATTACTTTTACATATGATATGTACAAGATTGTGCGTACGTAGATGTTATTAACAGAGCCAATTACTATTGTCTTACTCAATTTAGAATTATTGCATTCGAGTGACACAACTCCTGTTGTTTCACTCATCATATATAACCTCACCAACTCTAGCAAATTTAATTTAAAGAGTATTTCAATATTTACATCTCGCGTGCTAATATCACATAGATATAAGTGTGTATACATGTTCTTATCAACATAATAATAATTTAAGGTGAAAGTTTTATTAAGAGATCATTTTCATTTAATTTATTTATCCATTCTTCTAACATTAATTCTATCCAACATGAAATTGATTAAACTTGTTTCCATGCTTTCTCCTAACAAAATAAGCCCAGCATGATCTGTCATTATTGGAGCAAAACGTAGCTTTTGCCCATCGTTGTTTCTGTCTGCTGCTTCGCTGTCACCTAGCTAGCTACTTGTTTCCTTATCTCTCTCTAACTCTCTCTCTCTCTACACACACACACATCACTACGCACTGCCTTGTTCCTTTCATTTTCAAGCTCGTATGAAAATGTATATATATGGCTTGGCCTCTACATACACGTCCAACCTGTAAAAATGTCACCAAATTCTGTCTGCTTGATGTGAGCTCCACGTGTTCAAAGGCTTGGCCGTTTCTTATTGGAAATTTCTCTCTTTAATTTTTTTTCTTTGTAATAAAAGTAATTGAATTAAATTCACTAGAGGATATCTGACACTCATACCTGCAAAACTTGAATATGAGAATGAAAACATACAATTCAAACGTCATTTTCTGCCTGCTGCCTTTATTTTTTGTGTGTAACACAACGCACCTCTTTGTTAACTAACAGCACTCTTATACATGTTCCTGAGTCATATATAACTTTTACCCTTCAATATCTATATATCTAATACTTGTCTCTCTGTGTTTGTAGGGGTAGAGATAGAGAGAGTGGAAGAAAACTAGAAGATGGTGATTTAGAAATCATAAAAGGATGGTTAATGATAGCTTGGGAAACTGAAATTTTCAAAGAAAATGGCTCTGTGCTCTGTAAGAGGAACATTCATAATCATGATGATGATAACTTCAAGATCCATTTAATAATAATGGCGGGTTAAGATCAACACAACAGTTAGCTTCTCTTTGATGTATGAGTCCAAATGTAATTGAAATTAATGTGAGAAGCCCTAAACAGCAAACACGCCAACCCAAGCAAATACTGGAAGTTGGTAAAGCCTGAAACAACAACTCGTTTGCTTGGAGCAAGAGAGAAAGAAAGAAAGAAAGAGAACTTAAGAATCACAGCAGAAAGCCCTCTCTCTCTCTATCTCTCTCACTCTCTCACTCTCTCTCTACTTTTCCTTTGTGTGTGTGTGTGTGTGTGGTGCGACGACGTTCTCTTATCTCAAGGGAAGGGAGACAACCTGCAAGTCCAATTTCTGACTCCACGTTTGCCTTTCTCCTTAAAAAGCCTTTAATTCCTCTTATTGTTTCGCAGGGGGTAATTTCTTCTCTCCCTTTCACACACTTTTTGCCTTTCTTCTTTTACCTTCCACCAATTTAATATCTTTGGTCAAAATTAGTTCACATTTAATATGTTTTCATGCATATATTTAATTAGTTTTGTTCATTTACTTTTTTGCAAACCAATTGTTATAGAGCCAGACATATAATTTATTATGTCAAAAGAGATGTGATTACTAAGAACAATAACAGCTAACTAAACAAATACGCGTTGATTTGTATGATTTCACTAGTCTAGGGCTTATGATAAATTTTAATTATTAATACAGATGAATAAAGCATAAAGCCAGTAATGAATAATTTGTGGAACTGCAGACTGCTATACAAGAATGCCAAAAGCAATGTTCAAGCACTTGCCAAAATTCTTCATTCAAAATGTTTACCTAGATTTAGCTCTAGATCACTCACCATCCTTTTTCTAATTATAACTAAGAGACGAAATTCCAGTATTTCATTCTGACTAATTAAGCTATGACATCCTTAGATTTGTAAAACACTCTAATTTTTCTTGTGACATGCGCACTCTTAATATCAACACAAATCCATTAAAGAATCTATCTACAGATTTACCACAGAATAGGAAAACTAAGGCAAGAAATAATTATATCATGCCAATCATTTTAGAATTTAAATTAATCCCAGTGTCATCAGTTCTACAACAGATTAAATGGGGTTATTTATAATTATCTATTTTCTGCCCCGCCTTTTTTCGTTTGACCTAATCTACCTCAACTTTTCCTTACCCTGAAACATGCCTATGGCTCTCCATTTCCCTTCATCACCATATCCTCTGTCTCTCTCTCTCTCTCTCTACACTGTGTTTAACCTTCTCTCACACACATATAAGCACACAATATTTATACACAGATCGATCTATCATAACTGGCGAAAGAACCAAAGCATCCAAAACAAAATCGCATAGCCAAGCATTAAACGCTAGCCATGACAGATCCTCAGTCTTGGTTCAACTTCATCCCTCTTCTTCATCCTCCTCATCACTGTTCTTCCTTTACTACTTCTCATCAATTCAACGCCTGTAATTCCTTATACCCTCCTCATGCTCAGTACTCTAATAATCACTGCACATCATCTTCCATTCAATACCAAAGCTCTTCTAGTTTCTCCACTTTAGGCCATCCTCCAAGTTCCCCTCCTCTCAAAGAAGCCCTGCCTCTCATAAACAATTTAAGCCTCACAACAAGCGAACCCTCAAAAAGAGCCCTAGAAGAGGAAGAGGGGGAAAAGAATGAGAGAATGGAGAAAGAATATGAAGAAGATGACGACGAAGATGATGATGATAGAGGAACCGTGACGGTAGCCCTAGGAATAGGGCTTCCTACTAGCATGAGCACTTCTTCTTCTTCTCCACCTCCTTCTCATATGGGTTCAAGAAGCCAGATTTCAAAGGCTGTTGAAATGGCTGAAAAAGAGGAACTTGGTTTGGTTTCTGGATACCCTTTGGAGAGATTAAACAAGGGTCAGTATTGGATTCCAACCCCTTCTCAGATTCTCATTGGCCCTACTCAGTTCTCCTGCCCTCTCTGCTTAAAGACTTTCAATAGATACAATAATCTTCAGGTACTTGTTTCTTGTTATTTCTTTTTTTTTTCTTGTTAATTAATTCATCTGACTTAAGTAAAAGACCCTAAATTTTCTAATTTTTCCATTTAACTAATATGTTCTTCCTGTTTCATGGCTCTCTCTTTTCTTCTTTTTAATTAATTTGGCACTCTTATCTAAGATTCACATCTGAACGTGCGTTGTTTGGTCTGTCTCAGACTCATCATTACCAGTACTTTAACTAATTACTAGTGCTGTTTTCTTAAACAAAGTTAATAAATCTATTCTTTGAATATGTTCCTTCTACACTTTGATGTCACCTAGAGCGTTGTGCTGCACAAATGTATGAAAAGAAGCAAGACAAATCATTAATACCAGCGCCTCTTTCAGGATTCAGATATTTCTTTTATCAAAATTCAGTTGTCTGCAAGACTCTGAGCTCATTCAGTCTCTGAGAGATTTCAGTCTGTAAACAAAGCACCTGAACAGTAAAAATTTTAAAAGACTCGTCTTTGATCATATAAAAGCAAACCTTGGAACCTCATGTGTCTGAAGCTTGAAGATCCATTCTTCCTATACCTTTGATATGCATATTTTAAGAAGAATTAAGAAAAAGAAAGCCTGAGCAATGGATCTGAGCTATAATGAACTTTTTGTACTAATCGTACGAACTTCAAGTTCCTGCTCTTGTCTCATCCTTTTCTGGAAACGTGAAATGATTAGCTATAAGAAACTATCTTAAGAACTTCTCCTTTTGTTTTGATGTATTTGTTGACATGAATTAAGCTTTCGAATTCATCTTTCACATATTGGTTATATATAGAGAGAGGAGAGAGATCTCAAATATTTACTTCTCTATGTTGAATTAGAGAACATAACAAAAAGCAAACATTAAATGATAAGAGCTCCTTTAATTTTCACAGTTATGTAAAAGAAACTTCACAAGTACATACCCTTACACTAGGTTTTTCTTGATGCCTGTCCTGACTTTTCTCTTGTAGTTTTTTATTTTTTATCAATAACGAGATAGTTTCTCTAGTTATCTTCCCTTTCTAGCAAGGGCAGTTTGAGACCATATATAATAATGAATAATCCCTGTCATGGCGTCATCTTTTAAGAAATAAAGATGTGTTACGTTAAATCAAACCCAAACATTTCTTTTTTACTGTCTGCCAATTTAAGGGCTTTAATAAAATATATTAAAACAATTGTATATGCTTGAAGATAAGGGAAGACAATTAATTCATTAGAACCTATAATTTCTTCATCTAAACCACTAATTAATTCGAAGTAAAAAAGATCTTTTATTGTTCTACAAGCACCAGAAAGAGATCAAGACAGAGTCAGGGAGAAAACATATCAACACAAAGTGCTCTTATGAGAATTTTTTTTTTATACAGTCATCCTCCTCTCGCTCCTTTTGTCATCGTTCTAACTGAAATATATATACAATCACTATCTTTTTTGCCTTTAGAGCATCTGGCTTCAATTTGGATTCACACCCCATCACTACCATACATACAATAATTAACATATATAATTTTTTTTAGGGATATATGGTAGTATCTATATTTTTTTCTTAAACAGTTCGGAAGATTTCAGTTTGAATGAAAGAGAAGATGAAAAAAAGAGGAATTGACTAATGTGGGTTTGTGCATGTATTTGTACTCGTTTCCTATTCTGCGGTGGTTGACCTTGATCCGCTTAAGTCTGCAAATTTGCTGCATTTGAGTCTTATTAGGTCAATGATGATTCTTGTTTATGAAGAAAACGCTGAAGGAAACATAAATTAACATTACGTATAAAAAAATTAGTATTTTAGTTATTCGACTAGTTTAAAGCAATTAAATTTAAATAGTGCCTATCATAATAGCACTAGTCGACCACACAGAGTCAGTGTTTTTCATTTACATTATACTATTATATCATATCAAATTAGGAGGAGCATTACTATATTAAAGACAACGATTTAGACAAGTGTACTTTTTTTTCCCCATTATCTGTAAATTTATGCACACAAAATCTCAGTACTAATAAATCATATTGGGTTTGTGTAAGTGGAAAAGTAGATCAAGTGTAATTTTTTTCATGCATCTAAAAATCTATTTCTTAAAACTTTCAATATACATGATATATGTATGTGAGAGACTATTCTAATACCACTTGTAAAGTGTATATTACTGTAATATACTACCTCCCACCCTTAATATAGTACCTTGTTTGACTTTTATTTTGATTCTAAATATAAGACCCCAATTCATTTTGTCTCTCATATTTATGTATTTTTTTTCAAAGTAGTCTTTCTAACAATGGTAGTTCTAGCTAATATACTTGATTAGCAAGGATATTTTAGGAAAGACAACACATATTTATTACAAATAAGTAACTTGACTTCTTTTTTTAATCTCCTCAAACTAATCAACTAGCTCTTATAATTAAGATCGGAGGTACTATATATATTATAGTCTGATAATAACACTTGCGATTGCCGTATCTATTTATGTGGGGCGTGCGTCTGAGTGAGTGAGTGAGTGAGTGAGTGAGTGAGAGAGAGAGAGAGAGAGAGAGAGAGAGAGAGAGAGAGAGAGAGAGTAGTAATTAATAGCGCTAGGAAAACGAAAGGGATGTATAATTAAAAAGAAAAATCACGAGGAGAAACATTGTGAATGAAGCCAAAGATGCAGCAGAAAAGTGAAATTTTTGAGATTTTAAAGAAACATAGCCTTTTGTGAAAATATATAAATCTGTGCGTGTGTGTGTGAATCATCACTATCAAAAGCATGGGTTTTTGTGGCAGATGCATATGTGGGGACATGGATCACAATACAGAAGAGGAGCAGATTCTCTAAAAGGGACACAACCAACGGGAATGCTAAGACTCCCATGTTACTGTTGTGCACCAGATTGTAAGCACAACATTGAACATCCACGAGCAAGGCCTTTGAAGGACTTCAGAACTCTGCAGACTCACTACAAGAGAAAGCATGGCATCAAACCCTACATGTGCCGGAAGTGCGGGAAGCCGTTCGCCGTCAAAGGCGACTGGAGGACTCACGAGAAGAACTGCGGCAAGCTCTGGTACTGTCGTTGTGGTTCTGACTTTAAACACAAAAGGTCTCTTAAAGATCACATCAAGGCCTTTGGCCATGGCCATGCAGCTTGCTGCTTGCATGAAGAAGACGAGCCAGCTTCTGACATTGAACAAGATGGTGAAAACCCCTAGCTAGCTCGGTTTGATTCTATTTTAGTTTCTGATGTGATCAGATGGATGATGATATTCCAGTTTCATTTCACATCATATATATATATATATATATATATATGCTAGCTTGTACTAATATATCTAGATGTATTCGTTCTCTCTTATATGTGTTTGACTGTGCGCGTTCTCTCGTAATGATTTAGGTTGCCTTGTTTTTTTTACTTTTGTGTCGGATTTTGTGATCTGTAAATATATCTCTCATTTGAATCTCTGAGATATAGAAGTCATATATTCTGCTCGGTGACTGGCTTGGCTTGATGTTTTATATAGCAATCCATATATAGTGAGCAAAGCAGTGTTGTTAGTTATACAATTTAAATTACAGTTAGGCTCTACTAAACCCTATGCAAACTCTGAGAATGAAAGCGATTAGATGAAATCATAACTCTAGGCATTTTGTTTAAAAATAAATTACTAAATTAATTTTGCTTGACTATGATCAAATTAAAGTTATAAATTATATTATATGTATATATATCCGTTTGTGGTCTATAAATATATATATTTATAGATTTAACCTTATAGAAAAGAAAGTAAACAGTACATTTTCGATTACCAAAGTTTATGTTTGTTTTCTCAAATAAAGTCATGATGTTTAGCCCCGTTAAAAAAAGTCATTACATGGGAAAAGGTGATGATAAGTTGGATATATCTAAATTGAGAATAGTCACTTTTAACTAATAAAAGAAAAAAAATAACATTATCTCTTGTCATAGTATAAGAGCTAGTTGATTAATTTAGAAGATTAATGAAGTTAATTAAGTTAGTTTTTTGTAATATAGAAATAAGCATGTCTTTTTTAAAATACTCTTGCTAATCATGTATATTAAAATTAATTACCCTTATATAAAATTTTTTAACATGTGCAACCACCACAAGGACTACTTTAAAAAAAGTGGATAAATATAAAGATAAAATGTATTAACATTTTATATTTAGAATAAAATTAAATATCAAATTAGTTCTTATATTAGTAGACGAGTTAGTACATTAGTCATTATATATGCAAGTTGTTGGACTATAACGATTGCCCCTTGTTTTTTTATTTTATTTTATTTTATTTGATGAGGTCTGAATTCTCGAGCGTTAAGAGTTAACATGTTTGGGTGTTTAAGCATTTAAATTAATTATAATAAAAATTAATTATGTTCCCTATTTTTTTGGATGAGTTTCCCGATTAAAAATGATGTTAATATGTCTGTGTGTGCAAGTACTTAAATTGATTGTAATGAAAAAAAATGAGTGTGTATATAACTGTGTGTGTATCAAACTACAAGTGGTTTCGTGATTTTACGATGGTTTCTTGTGATCAGATTCAGAATAGATTGTGTCGAACAACAGAAACAACAAGACAATTCAAATCTGATCCTTTTGTCGTGACGTGGCATTATGGTTTTCTTAGTGCTAGTGGTATTAATCTGAATCTTAAAATGGGCAATTTTATTTAAAAAATCCAAAGTGTATATATATAGAGTTTTTTTAAAAATAAAAAGTCTGTATACAATAATAAAACAATCTAAGACATGAATAGATTGATTTCTCAAAACTCTGTATATGACACAAAAAGTTTAAAAATTAAACGGTAAATTATAATTATTTATTTTTCAATAGAACAATAAAAAAAATATACTTCTAAGTCAAAAAATGATATCAATAATCTTTATTGTACAATACTAGATGTATTAATTTCTAGCGGAAAATGCTTCAGCAAAGAAGTACAAGTTAATTAAAAATAATTGATTTCTTATCAATTAATATGACATATAAAATTACTACAAAATTATAATTATAATTAGTCAGTCTATAAGCTGACGGCAGGATTCATCTTCTCAGAGTCTCTCAGTGAGTCACCGGACCTTCAGGAGATTCCTCTCTCCGTCCCTCTGCCTCTCTTTGTCTCGCTCTGCTTATCTCCGCCGCGAAAGAAGGAATTCGAATGGCTTTTGCGATCGGTCTCCCTCATAACCTGCTTCTGCCCAGTGCCTCCCGTGGCAAATTACAGGTGAAATCGTGCTCTCAGATTCAGATTCAGATTCAGACCAAGAAACGATGCTTGCGATGCCATACGCTTTACTCTGATCAAGAAAATTCTCCAACTGCTTGTTCTTTCCATGGCCACGCCAACGGTATGCGTATTCTTTCTCATCCACTCACTTCTCTGCCTGATAATCCGATAGCTCTCCCCCAGTTTCACTTCTCCTGTTTGTCTCGTTTTCGTCGTTATTCAGCAGCGATTGACTTATAATTTAATCGCTCTGTTTCTGGATTTTTCCTTTCGCGCTTTCCGATCTCTCTTACGAATCAGGGGTTTGAAAATGAAAACTGTCTTTAGAAAACCGTCCGCAGAAATATCCATTCTTCAAATTTGTTTCGGCTTCGCATCTGTGTCTTGAAATTTATTTCTGCTTGTTCGTTTGATATCTGAATCATGCCATGGAAATTATGAAAGAATTTTCAACACCACTCGAACTTTTATCAATGCTAAAGATTAAATTAGCGCTCGGGCATTTTAATAGTTAGTCTTATTACCTATTTAACTATAACTATTTTGATTAAAAAAATTAAAAAAATTAGTTAATTATAAATATGATATCTTCTTTTTAAAATACTATAATAATTTTTCTTAATATATTTTCTTCCTTATTAAAAAAGTATCAATATGACTAATTTTTAAAAAATTAATAAATATAAAAATAGATGTTATATTTATAATCAAGATTAACTTATGGATTAACTTATTAACTTATGCAGCAGCGTGGTTCAAGTTATGCCAATGTATTGCAAATTTTTGGAATTTGCTTAATTGGAGTCTAGTTTTTTTTTTTTTGTTAAGATAGTTTTCTGGTTTTTTTTTGGCGACTTGGCCTTGAAAGTTGGATTTGGATTAGTAAGAGTTACTTGGGCCAATTGAAAGACCTAGTAAATATTTGAATTTGAGTTTTTCTTTTTAAAAATTCCTGCACTGAACTTATGTTATACCGGCCCAATTCAGTAGGTTCAACTGGACTAGGGGCCTAAAACTGCCCCTGACCACTTGAATTGGGATTGAGGTTGGGCCAACGCCCAGGAAAGACAGCCCATAGAGAAAGCTAACGGCGTGGGTGGGTGGTTGGACTTGCAGGGGAGAAGGGGTTGTTCTCGTTGGCGCCGCCACACCAAGGGATAGATGGGGAGTGGACGGACGAATCAGGAGTGATTGTGTACAAATGGAATGACAAAGGCAACAGACCCAACACAGGTCGCCCCAACTGGAAGAGACGGTGGAGCTGTTGTGCCGAGTATGATGAGAATACCCCTCCTTGCCGACGAGCCTCCCATGTCTCCTATGATGATGGTTTCACTTTGTACTAACCATATTCCCCCCCCCCCCCAAAAAAAAAAAGTTCCCCTTGTATATAATGCTTTCGATGTATATTTAGAGGAAAACATCACTTCAAAGAGCATATTTATCTTTAAGTATTCTACCTCTCATCCTTCATATATACTAGTAGGAGTTATTTCACTAGCCAAGGCTGATTAATGAAGTTAGATAAAGTTGTTAATTATAATATACTATCTCCGGTCCTTAATATAAGACTTTGTTTGACTTTTATTTTGGTCATGAATATAAGACTCCAATCTATTTTGTCTTGCATATTTATACTTTTTTTTTTCCAAAGTATCTCTTCTAACAATGATAGTTCTAGTTAATACATTTAATTAGTAAGGATATTTTAGGAAAGACAATACCTATTTAGGACAAATAACTAACTCAACTTACTTCTTTAATCTCCTCAAATTAGTCAACTGGCTCTTATAATTAGGACAGAAGGTAGTATGTTATATCATCCCTTTAAAATAATTATGTATAACATTATGTTAAATATCAGTCTCTAAGTTAAGTAAATTAGTTTGTGAAAAAAAATAATAAATAAATAATAAAATGGATTGAAGGAGTATTTTGCCAATATCTTTCCCTCAAGTGGGCAGGAGTCATTACCCAAGAAGAGACGTATGGAGGAGATGGTGTAGTCCGTGCGGACTTCGGCATGAAATAGTAGTTTTGAACTCAATTATCACCAGAGAATTTTAAGGTAGTTCTCATGTACTTAGTTGAGTTAACAAACAAAAAAAAAAGGTTAATAACTCATAAATACTACTATTTGTTACAATTCCTATATCATACTACATAAATATTCTTCCGGTCCTTAATATAGGACCTAATTGTTGAGTTGATTTTGGTCCTAAATTAGGACCCATTTTTCATATTTATCAATTTTCTCTAAATTACCCCTATAGATACTCCCTCATCGGAGGAGTATAAGCATTTTTTTTTACCTGGATATATAAATATAACAGACTTAGTTCCATGATCAACTTTTCCATCTTGGCTAATTTTTTTCTGACTGATTGGGCCAAACACCCGCACTAAAGATTGGTAACTCACATCAGCCAGTAAACGACTCTAAGTAACAGCAGCTCCCGAGGTACATGAACAAACGTTGAATGTTCAGAGGTAAGCAATGATTGATGAGATTGGCCCAAAGAAACAATGATCAATGTGGTTCTTCTTATCTAATCCATGCTTAAGTTTAGTATCAGAGAAGCAACATGCGTGGAAATAAGAGTTAGGTTTCTAATTTGGCCAAGATTATTATAGAGAGAGAGAGAGAGAGTAAAATCTGCATTAGTCACTCCAACTAGAGAAATGCAGGATAATTGAAGTGAAAATCTCTCAGGCTATGGTCAGAGCAGTGTTTCATTCTTCCCCAGAAACAGCAAAATGTTTAATGATAGCTCAGACTTCTCTTAAATTACATATGGACACTGTCATAAACAGGGGCCATGCTAATTTCAATGTCAATACCAGATTGAAACCAAGACATAGCTGAATTGCAAGCAACAAACATGTTGATCATACAGAAAATCGTGCATTCCCAGAGACAGGCTCAATAATCAAGATCAAAAGGACCCAACAGTCTTAAAAGACTCATGAACATGCCTCAGAACCTCCTTATCTCTGTTCCACTCCGGCGTCGGAGCATTCACGAAATGGGCATAAAGCTTGTTCTTCGCACACGTCACAGAAATCAAACTATGGGCTCCAGCCCCATCGATCTCATACACATAATAGATCTGACCATTCTCATCCTTCTTCTCCTCCGACGTCAAGTTGTCCGCATTCGCAATCAGATCCTGCAATTCCACGTCCGATAACGCCAAATTGTTCAGCACTGTGTCCTTCGGAGCTAATTGGCGAAACCCCGAAAGGAAAGTGAGGTACTCCTTCTCCGTTTTCTTCTTCGGATTGAAAAATTCACTGTCCGTTCCGTTCGTTCCCTTCTCGACCTTCGACACGAGGCGCTCTTTCCAACCCTCTGGGACGTCGTAGACGTACTCGGCGGAGTCTTTCTTGTTGGAATTCCCGCCGTAGCCACCGTAGTTGGCGGCACTGGCGGCAGTGCCGTAGTAGACTTGGTAGTTGGTAGAGGAATCTGCTAAGGAAGGAAGAGGAGTAGTTGTGAGTACAGCGGCAATAGCGGCGGCGGTTAAGGAGGCGGTTAGAGGTGGCTTGTAGGATGAAATGGGTAGGAGGGGTTTGGATGAAGGAGAAGGTTTTGATGGGGCGGTGGTCGTTGCGGCGGTGGAGGCGGAGGAGGAGATGGGTGGTGATGAGAAGAGGGTGGCCATCGCGGTTTGGATTACGTGGGAAGCGTTATCCCTTCGAGAGGCGGAAGTTTATGTAATTCGTTTCATTATCCGACTGATCCACGGAGAAGAGAAGATAGGCCGGGGTAAGCTTTAGATGCCCACGTGGCTGCTTGCTTGACCAATAACATTACGCCACGTATTGATACCATGGGTGGCGTTTCAAAACGATAAGGGTCTGTTTGGGTGACCCTCAAAACCATGGTTTAGGAGGCAAAACCATGGTTTTGGTTAAATGTCACCCAAATAGCATCAATTTTGAGCCAATAATCTGAAACCATGGTTGGGCCAAAACCATGGTTTCAGTAGAAGTGAATTCATTTTGCTTCTGGCTCAAATTGGAGAGATAATTGTGCCTGTCAGAGTAGATCTCAACAATAATATGACTTTAACATTTCTCAATTATTTTTTTATAAATATATTTAACCTTATATCTTATAAACACATATACACATATTAATTATTTATTAATTACATTATCTTATGTATTATTAATTATGTTGGTAAAAAATATATTATTAACAATTTTATTCCTTCAAATTAAAATATATCATAAAATTTATCTTTTATATAATTATCATATTAACTTATGTTTTTTTTAGTAATTTGTATATATAAAGTACTTTTGATAACAACTATCTAAACACTCTCACTTCTCAGAATCACTTTTTTACAAAATCTATTTTTCACAGAATCTATTCTCCAGAAGCTATTCTCCAAACCATGGTTTGGTTTTATCCAAACACATAAGGGTGTGTTTGGATAAAACCAAACCATGGTTTGGAGAATAGCTTCTGGAGAATAGATTCTGTGAAAAATAGATTTTTTGAAGAATAGATTTTGTGAAAAAGTGATTCTGAGAAGTGAGAGTGTTTGGATAGTTGTTACCAGAAACACTTTTTACATGTACAAATTACTAAAAAGGCACAAGTTAATATAATAATTACAGAAAAAATATATTTTATGATTTATTTTAATTTGAAGGAATAAATTGTTAATAATATATTTTTTTATTAACATAATTAATAATACATAAGATAATATAATTAATAATAATAATATAATATGTATATAATTTATAAGATATAAGATTAATATATTTATAAAAAAATATGTTTATAAAAAAACAACAAGATACATATCCTATAGGTTCTCACACTCTTTTTTTTTTTTTTTCCAAATCAAAAAATTTTGCTTTTCCAAAACCATGGTTTTGGTTTTTTTAAGGGTGTTTGGGTGATTTTTTCTCAAATCATGGTTTGGGTTATCACTCAACACCCCCTAAAATATTAGGAATAATTTTACAAATAACAATGAATATCTTCAACTCAGTTTTTCGCAAAGTTTTCATTATTAAAAATATAAAACACTATAATTGTGCTTATCTATTCACTGGATATCATCATTTTGTGATGCCATGCCCATACAATTATTTATTTTTGAACTATGTGTGTGTAATATGAGCTTGGTGGATAATAAAAGCATTTTATAGAGTTTTTTTTTTTTTTTTTTAACGATTGCCGTGGGATGGTATAAAAGTCTGACCAGTAATATTTTTATAGATAAGTTGTTGACTTTTCTACCTGTTTGCATCTAGAACTACAACAATGAGAAGTGTCAAGTATTATCCCACCTGTGGAATAATCAAATTTTTAAATAGGTTGTTAATCCTATAATTTTACTCAATAATTTTATTAAGTGTTCTCTTCCGTGTTCTTATTTTTTTGTAGAGAATTTCAAATTGTTTGATCTATTGTTTTTATCGCAGCGTCTAATAGTTTTTTTCTATACAAGTTTATATTATTTCAAATAATTTTTAATAATTTTTTGTTCAACAGACACTACGCCTACTTTTCTTCTAATATTATTATTTTGAATCTTTATTATGTTTTTTTTTTTTTGCATGAATCCATCTCAACATCCTCTTATATAAGAAAATATTTTTAATCTGTATAAAAAGGCTTCTATATTGGTGTTCGAATCTAAAATAACAAGTCTTGCTTTGGATGAGATTGCTAGCTATAGTTGCCTCATCACCTTTCTTCTCTTTCACCATCTCGAAGTTGTTTAGACTGAAACTTCTTCCGTGTCTTGCCACCTCGGAACACTATTTGTTCTTGTCACACTAAAAAGGAAGTTAAAGAGTGAAGACGTGAAAGGGAATGCTAACCTTCTTATATTATAAGAAGCTTAGCATTTGCCTTATAAGAACACTCTTGTATGATGAATAAGCACATCCATGCAAGTTGAAACAAAATTTCATTTACATACATATCATATACTACTCCCAGTCCTAATTATAAAAGCTAGTTGACTAATTTGAGGAGATTAAGGAAATAAGTTAAGCTAGTTATTTGTAATAAATAGATGTTGTCTTTCCTAAAATATCCTTGTTAATCAAGTGTATTGGTTAGAACTAACATTATTAGAATGACTATTTTGAGAAAAAAATACATAAATATGAAAAAAAAAGTGGATTGGGGTTCTATATTTAGGACCAAAATAAAATTCAATCAAGATCTTATATTAAGGATCGGAAGTAGTATTTTGTAAATCGTAATTAAAAAACTGATTATAAACTATTCATAAGCCATTCCAAATAAATATGAAAATAGTAAAAGAGAAAAAATAATGAGAGAGGGAAGGTTAAAACTAATGAGGTTTTTAAATGATTTTACAGTATATGAAATAAATATGTAGAAGAGTTTGTCTCAATTTGTAAAAAAAAAAATACTTTTAAAAGCTTGATGATATCCAAATACCTTCTAAAGTTCAAACAAAGCAAAAGATTTTC